GCATGGGGTCACTATGAGTTGGAAACGACTCGACGGCACTTAACAACAACAACAACAACATAAGTGTGTGAGCCATTTTCCTAAGATAAATTTATCTTTCTCTATATAAGCTTTCCTGGTTTTGTTTCTCTAGAGAACTCAGTCTAACACAATAGCTGTTTATGTTGTTCAAAAACATATTTGCAATGAATGAGTCGTTGGTCTTGCAAAACTCTACCATGCAATCTCCAGCATAATTTCTGTCACCCAGGCCATATTTTCCAACTACTGATGATTCTTCTTTGATTCCAATTTTTGCATTCCAATCACCGATAACAATCACTATATCTTGATTGCATGCTTGATCAATAGACTATAGAAGTTGGTAAAAATCTTCAATTTCCTTGTCTTTCTTTGGATTTGGTGGTGGTTGTGTAATTTTGAATAATTGTCCTATTAACTACTCTTTCTTGTAAGTATGTGGATGTTATCCTATCACTGACCACATTTTACTTTGGAATAGAGCTTAAAACATTCTTTGTGATGATGTAGACGATGCCATTCCTCTTCAGTTTGCCATTCCTGGCACAGTAGATTGTATCATTATCTGATTCAGAATGGCCAAAACCTGTCCATTTCAGCTCACTCATGCCTATGATATCTATTTTTATGTGTTCCATTTCATTTTTGACAACTTCTAATTTTCCTATGTTCGTACTTCGCACATCCCTCATTCTGATTACTAATGGATGTTTGCACCTGATTTTTCCCATTTTTGTGTTGTGTCCCATCAGCAAATGGAGGTCCTGAAAGCTTTACTCCATCCATGTCATTAAGTCAACTCTACTTTGAGGAGACATCTCTCCTCCAGCCATATTTTGAGTGCCTTCTGACCTGAGGGGCTCATCTTCCAGCACTGTGTCAGACAGTGTTTCAGGACTTTTCATACAGCTTTCCAGTACTATATCAGACAGTGTTTCACTGCTATTCATAAGGTTTTCAACTAGCCAATTATTTGAAAAGGGGATGGTCCCTTTTTTCTTCCCTGTGTTTCTTAGCCTGGAAGCTCCACTGAAACCTGTCCACCATGGGTGACCCTGTTGGTATATGAGATACTGGTGGCAAAGCCACCACACTCATAGCAACACGCAGTCCACCAAAGTACAACAGACTGACAGAGGAGTGGTGGATTTTGCTGTTAGAATCCTTCAGTACTGCACCTTGAGCCTTGAACTCTTCCTTCAGTTCTCTTACCTTGAGAAATGTCAAGCATATTCTTCCCAGAACACGAGAGTTTTAAAAAATATAGCTGCTGAAAATTTTATATCTGCTCATACTTCCTTTAATAAATGATTCACTTCAACTGTGCATGTCTTAATTCACTGATAAAAGATCACTATAATTTAGACAAATAAAATGAGCTTCATCAGAAGATGTGTTTCTGGAAAATGTATAGTTAGATTTGTCTGAATTCATTTGAAAGATTCCCATTTATAGAAATAATAAGGTAACTAATTATGAAAGTAAAGTAACTAGTCTGACAATTATTTTTGTTTTGGATTTTCAAAAGTAATATTTGTTTGAAATAATTTTCTAATTTTAGTGTTGATGGCAAGTAGGCATATTCCTTTTAACTATCTGTCTAAAACAACAACAGCAAACCTACATCCATTGAATCGATTCCAAATCATAAGTGACCCTGTAGGACAGAGAACTGCCTCATAGGATTTCCAAGGCTTTAAATCTTTCTGGAAGCAGACTGCCTTATCTTTATTCAGAGAGCAGCTGGTGGGTTCATACTACCAACTTACTGATAAGCAGCCAAATGCCTTAACCACTGCAGTACCAGAGCTCCTTAACTTTTATAAGGCTTTTGCGAAATGGAAGACTGCTTTTCCAGTCTTCACCTACAAAGCAATGTCTTCCTATGTGGGAATGAGATCAGTCACTTGCATTCCTTTATAGTGGTTTGCCCAGTGAGTCTATTATGAAAATGTCTAATCTTGTTTCTAAATGATTGCCTTGCAAAACATTTGAGGTCAGTTGTCACGCCTGTTTTTCTGTCTTATTCCCCCCTTCCAACTAAGCTTCGCCCATCTCCTTCTATTCATATCAAATAGCCCAGTTGGTTAATAGCTCTCTTAAAATATGTCACTTATAACTGAACAGCCTATTCCAGAATAAATACTGACCAGTTTAGAATACAGATGGGAGCTCTGGTGGTGTAGTGCCTGAAGCATTTGAATGCTAACCAGAAGGCTAGCGGTTCAAACCCCCAGCCACTCCTTGGAAGAAAGATTGGGCAATCTACTTCCATAGTGATACCACCTGGGAAACCCAAGGAGGGCTCACTATGAGTCGGATCTGACTCCACAGCAGTGAGGTTTTTTTTTTTTTTGGTTGTAGACTACAGATATGAGAGACATTAGCTTTGATTTAGATCTAGCTCAGAACATTTGAAAGTAACTGTGATTCTGACTTGCTAGTAGTGTGTTCCACTATAGAAAATATTAATTTTTATGAAACAGTATACTAAAACTTCATTGTTACTGGATGCAAGGTGAGTAAAATTTTGCATAAAAACTATAATTTTTTACTTTAAGAAGTACATTTGTGTACTTTCAAGTGTATATACCAAACCAAAAGAACTAAACTCATTGCAATCAAGTTGATTTAACTCACAGTGACCTCTCCTTGGGTTTCCGAGGCAGAATCACTATGGAAGTAGATTGCCCAACCTTCCTTCCAAGGCATGGCTGGTGGGTTTGAACCACCATCCTTCTGGTTAGCAGTCAAGTGCCTTAGGTACTATACCACCAGAGCTCCCTCAAGTATGTAAAGTACAAGAAAATTGGCCAAGCTCCAGATATAATCTATTAGGTAACTTCCTTGACTCTCCTTTTCTTAAATTTTCCTTGGGTAACTTTATAAAACCTCTTAGGTCTAAGTCGGTCAAGAAAGCATAATCAGAAAAAATCCTTTATGCAATCCTTCCTGAGAGGGGTTTGAAGTCCTGATTATTTGGGCAATATTTAGTTGCTGCTTTTTTAGCTCATTTTCTCAAGCACTTACCTGTTTCACAGAACACAGTAAGTCATTTTAAACATGCTTTTATTTAATCTCTACATAATTTCTGGTGAATGGTGGAAGGCTAGTAAACCCAGATTGGTTAATACAAAGAAGTGTTCTTAGTTCCACATTGTTGTTGTTGTTGTTGTTATGTGCCCTCGAGTTGGCCCCGACTCATAGCG